TTAAAAATCACAATATAGTACTTCATATTTATAATTACAAAATTGATATTTATAAATGAAAAATTAACTGCAGAAACTGTAAATAGTAATATTTTAATAGTTGTGATTAACTGATTGTCACCAACATGGTATTTTCTTACAGTTAATCAATTTAATTGTATTATTCGCGAAAAGCTAGTAAAGGAAGTCATAAATAGCGATTTTTAACTTATTATTTATTACCTTTCATTATGTCTACAATGAGAGTTAGTTTGAGAACTTTTATAATTTATTTATTAATTCATGGGTGAAAGTCTATTTTGGGCAACAGTTCCGTGAATACCCTACAAAAAATGCCAATAAAAGATGTGACCAGTGGATAAATATATGTAGCTGCAGCGCGAATTAACAAATTTACAATGGCACCATGAAATTTTAATTATCTGTTTTCGAATATTACGTCTTTTAGATGATTATTATTATTATTGTAAACGACCCGAGCAAAAATTGCACAATAAAAAGAGCCGTTCGTGATTATAATAGACAGGTGATGCCTTCCGAAAATTTCTGAAAACCCGTTAAACCACTTTTGACAGCGCTGAAATATAGATTATAAAAGTAATAGCATTGGCAGATTTCGCGTCTCTTAAAACTGGCTAACACTGAACGAACATATAAAATTACAAAAATATTATATATAGAAGAAATTATGAGTGCTATCAGCACAGGGCAAACGTAGTTAGTATCAGCAATTTCTTATGCTGAAGGGTACGATGTGTTGCATACCTATTAACAAACAATTCCTTTAAATATAATTTTTAATACAAAGAAAGTGATTAAGCAAATTGTTCACAAAAGTGAATTTCTTCCACTCGAAGCAATAACAGTTTCGAGCTCACAGTGACTGGTGGGGGAAGAACGTGTTTTAATAAAACACATTTACTATTTCATTAATTTTACAAAAAGTGTACACATAGCTAGAAATATAATTCTTTATTCAATATTGTGAAATATACTGTAAAATACGTTTAATTCTGTTGTAATTCCTAAAGGAAATTAAAACTACCCTTCTTTTACCTCCATTACAATTCAAAGCAATCGTAGAAAAAGTGAATCAAATATTTTTTATATCGTAATGCAAAGGTACGTTGAACCATATTCGTATATTGACTTATTTTCTTTTACAAATAATTTCTACATATACAGGTATAAAAAGTATGATCTACTTTCTGAAATCGATTAGGAAAAGAACTGTCATTAGTGGGGTAGCAAACGTTGGAGAAAAAACTTAATTTGTTGACTTTACTTTCATGTAATGCCTGCACGTGAAATAGAGAACTAAATATGAAACATTTTCATTACAGATCATGAAAACTTTGTTTGGCCCAAACATGAATGAATGAAATGCAAAATACTTCCTATAAATTTGATTTGTTTGTTTCGTTGCAATATGGGGTCGGCAGCTGACAAAATTCAGCCACAAGAGGTAAGAATATTTGTTTATTTACTTTGTTTTTGTGTGGAAATCCAAAATTGCATAAAGAACATCAGTGATAGAGAAATGCTAGCTAGAGATTTCCGTGAAAATCAAATCTACTTCTATGAAATTAAACAAAATAAAGCGCAACAACCCAACAAAGTATTAAAAGAACGAAAAGAACACCTTAAGAGACGAAACACGTTTTAATTTTTTTAAATATTTTTAGGTGGAATTTGAGATTTATATGTTTTATTTAATCGAATATCCAAATTACGTTAAATTATTATCAATTCCACTTATTCAAATTTTAATTTTTATTTGTAAAAGGGAAAAATATTAGATAATAAATGCAGTTGAACAGTTTTGTTTTATAAACATTAGTCATTTTAATTCAGTTTGTTATCAATTACCGTACATAACATGACATTAATTATTCCTATGTATGTGTGTGCTATTTCGTAGCAATTGACGATATTATATGAAATAGATTTGTGT